CATAACAATCACAAGGAAACAATAAAGGCTTACTATTATATTTATAGAATGATTTTTTACATGAACCAAAGTGAATCTTGAAGACCACAGTTATTCTTGTAATATGCCATTAAATAAAGTCAAATCAGGGTGGTCTCTTGAAGCTTTAAATGGAAAATGTTTATTCTTGTACTTGCACACASAACAGAAAAAGCACAGAGATGACTGTGCACACCTGATGGCTTTTGTAAGCAGTAAATAAAACTGATGGCATATTTTCATCACTAAARCTTTCACTAGGAGTAAGYAGTTAAGGTTTTGTTYGGTGTTTTTTCTGAAAATGATCTARTTGTTTTAARTGAGACTGCAGGGTATCTCTGCCTCAGAAGAACTCCTGAGGTAAGTGTCTGAGTCATACTGATGGGAAGAAAAAAGGGATTCTTAAAGCACCACAAGAAGGAAGTTTATTAGTAATGCAGAGCCACTGTAATGACAATAAGTGAAATAATTTTAACAGTGGGAGAAGCTTTTGCTGAAGCCTTGCAGATAAGATTTTCTCCTCTGGCTGAAGCCTAGCAGGATGGTGCCTGTAAGAGATGTCTCTGGCTCTCTGCTCTGCAGGCYTTGAGTATGGCAGTGTGAACACACTGCATGCTGAGCTGCCTTACTACACCACAGAGCTTGTCAAATATCAAATACACTCACAGCAAAGCCGCTTGSTCTCCACTCTAAGCATTAGGATGGCTGTGGACATGAACTCTTGGCTCTTTTTCACAGACAGGGATGCAACTCCTGTTATTGCACAGTTTCTGAAGTTTTTTTTGACAATCTCCCACCTACTAAATCATGGGGGTAAGGTCAAGGTGACCCTGATTAATCATTCAATAATTCGTAGGAAAAATAAAAAAGGACTTGTAATTTTTGCCACAATAAATAGCCATGCAGTGCCAAACCTCCAAGGATTGCATTTGATACACCACTACACAGGCATTACACTTCAACATTAACTACAGCAACAAAGCATTCATCAATTGCTTTAGATGTCCACAAAAAAAACCCTGCTCAGATACAGCAGTTGCCATGATTAAAACAACTACCTGGATTTTTACTCCTCTGTTGTGCTGAATTACTTAYGTAAGGACTGCATATTTGGCTCACAATCTTGCTAGATTTTCAGATTTAGTATTATCTATGTTTTTGTCTCAGAACAGAAGAAACTTAACTCTAATGCTAATTGCGAAAGAAATTCTCCAAAAACAAATKTGTTATGGCCATTTTGCCATGTTGAACCTGTGATTAAGGCAGCTGCCAGAACGAGATGCATTTGCTTCCAGTGGATGAAGTTTTTTGTCTGTTGAAGCTGAATGAGGATACTAAGAGAAAGTGTGATGTCCACTGAGGAGGGCTCATCCCTCATCTGACATTCTTGCTTGAGAAAAAGAGTAGTGGAAGAGAAATAAATGACCAATTATAGGGAAAGCTAAGGTTAGGGAAAGTAAAAGAACCTTAATATAGGAACAGGGACTTAAAAGTAAGAGAAAGACGAGTAACAGTATTGCTAAAATTGAATGTCATTCTCCAAGATATAGGTGCTTTAAATTTTTGTAAGTGGGAATAATTTTATCCATTTATTCTGTGTTTCCATGACAGAATGAACAGTGGGATCCCTGATTCTTATTGCTGTTAATTGGTATCRCTCCATGGAGAGAAGCATAATTTTGACTATATCTGTTGAGCCACGAGACAGAGAAAATCCCCTTTTCCCCACTCCACAGAATCATTCAGCTCCTCCCTGAGGCAATCTCCTTCCTCAGCAGTACAGCTCCTCTGCTCGTGCTTTTTATCTTGCATTTTCTAACTTTGCTCAAGACTGCTACAAAGGAGATTATGATGGRTAACTAACAGGCAAAACATCAGAAGCAAGCTTTGCAAAATACACATTTTCAAARTCAGTGTGGCAGGTTTACTTTTAAAGAGCTCTTAAATATTTTATATAAATACCTGGAAGGAGCATTTTTTTCACTACAGTTTTATAATTATAATATGATATTAAAGATTGTCTTCCTTTCTCAGGCAAAATTCTGAGTTGCAGATGATCTGCTAGAATGAGATGCTACATTTGGCTTTTATTGCAGAATAATGAAAACAACGAAATACAAAAAGCCTGTAATGAAATGTTACACAAAAAGGACACAGACCTTAAGGGGACAAAACCAGGAAATATATARCAAGCCATGTGTCATGCTGCTGCAGCTGTTTCACCTCTTACCAATTTTCACAGTCTATAAAATCTTGGAAAGCACCAGATGTTTAGGGGAAGCTGTCCCACTCCCCCTAGCTTTGAAAAAAGAGGCAAGATTTATTARAGCTATATATACGTGATTCCAGTCCTGACTTCTATATTTATGAACCAGGTGAAACATGCAACACATCCTGATGTCAAACAGCCCATTTACTTTCCTCTGCTCCTCCTCATGTGCAGATCCTGGCTGTTGCTGAACCACTGCCGTAACTACAGAGCAATATCAGGACATGCAGCCCAAACTACAGAATTTACTTTGTTACTGACAAACSTATCTGAGAGTTTTCTCCTAGTACCAAGTTCTGTCAAAACAACCTTGCAATGCACAGATTATGAGCTAAGCAAAACTATCTTGTCTATGAATATGCACCAACATTTGGGATTCCTGCCTAGGCAGAGACTGTTAATGCACAAAATTATCTTTTTTYTCTTTTCCTAGTGCATGGTTCCTAGTATTGGAACAGGGATAAAAACTGCTCATGCATAATTTCCAATCTTTCATAGCTCAGCGGTGCTGTAAAATGCTGCTGTTCGTTTTAATTCAGTGAGTAGAAGTTTTGTTGTGTTTACCACTAAGGGAATTGCATGTGTTATTAGAAAGCCTCTGACAGCTGTCAGAGACAGAGACAACTTGCCTCATTTCAATCTTTCATAAAGGAAGGACCCTCATCTTCAGCAAAGCTGTCAGAAGCCTGAAAAACAGGATAAAAGAGAATACCTTTTCCAAACACATAAAAATCTCTGTATCTCCTCTATTTTCTTCCCCATAAACTTACAGAGGGGAAGTTGTATAGTCRGAAGAAAGAAAAAAATATGATTTGATGTATTTGTACTGTATACTGCCTTATCATTACTACCTGCAGGGATAATTGCATAGTAGCCTGCCTGACATGGTATTTAATAAATTAGCACTCTGTTTTAACATTACCTACAAGCTTTCATGCAGYTGTTTCTTTTTTCTGAGAGCAAGAACAATCAAAACCAAAGAGACATTGATGAAGACAAGGGCTTTGCAGCAAAGAYTCTGAAAGTCTGAATCTGTAAGCAYTTCCACACTTTCCAACACATCTCACCATGCCCAGCACTCTCACCGAATTTAAAGCACAAGAAAAGGAMATCTTCTCTTAACACCTCAGAACTTSTAGCTTTTGATTTAAACAGGTGCTTGCCTTAATAAAAACTCCATTGTTTATTTTAGTTCAAATATTTGGGGTTTTCTTTCCTAAAAACCTATATAAGTTTTTTAATCAGAATAAGTGACATTTCTGACATTAGTGCTTAGTAAATAAGCTTAGTAACTTGCTTATTCTTCAGTGACAGAGAAACAAGCTTATTCCATGCCTTTAACAGGTTAGCATTGTTTTCCCATCAGCTCCTACTTAGCTTTCTGATGATGATCAGATTCTCCTTTTCACTCCAGTAATCCCACTGGTATCCCTCCATACAGCACTGTTTCTGATGTCAACTCCTTTAACCAGCACAAGGGACAGGGAAGGCAAGAGTATCTGCATCATTTGTTTGATATTGTTGTTTGCATGCTATTTTTATAGCACACTCAATGCTCGTTTTCACTTTTCATACTCTGATTCATTTTTCATCCTGTTTTCTTCTCCCTATCCATCTTGCACTGCTGAGTAAAGCAAAAATCCATGAATGAGTCAGAGTCAAATTTTCAAAGTCACATTGGTCAGTGGGGTCTGAAATTAAGCAGAATGAGATTGCTTATGTTTTATGTTTCCAAAAAATAGAAAATAAATTTCCTTTCTTCAGCTGAAATAAAGAAAGTTTTATCCCATTTTTTCCAGCTGCATTTATTTTTCTGAAATCCAGTCTAGACCATGATGCTCATTAGTGTCTGTGGTAACTAGCTGTTTCTATTCCTTCCTTCAGCCTTGTCTAATTGTCATCCTATCTTATCACCAAAAGCAACTCAAAACTATTATTTCTTGTTATATGTTACTCTTCTGGGAGGCTTTTTTTTTGGTTGTGGGTTTGGGGCTTTTTTTTTTTTCCTTTTTGTTGGGTTTTCTCTGTTTTGCTACAGGATAGCTGAATGGCTGTTTAGGGGAGATTTCTTTCTTGCTTTATCCTTATCTCAATGAAGAATTATGTGAATAAAACTGTAGGAGCAGCTTTTCATAAATACATATTCTATGCTCCATTCTAATTTTGGGTTGCATGTTTGCTGCTTTTATTCAGTACACTGGAAGGGGAACATTAGAATGTTTGAAGCAAGAATGAGGAATCAATAATTTCTCATGTATGTAACTTTTGAAGCTTTTTTGCCTATATACTACCAGAATTAAGAACAGCAGCTGTTGTGATTTATGTTGACTGGATGTTATACAATGTTATTATCTTCTCAGCTTGCAAGAGCCTGGTTTTCAGTTGTAGTACATACTATTTCTGCCATGTTAAGCTTGTTATCAAATCCTCAACCAAATCTTTCTCAACATTTCACATAGCATGKAATAATTCAGCTCAGAAGCTGTAACACCACACCATTCCTTTGGAAATCTGAAATGTGAAACGTGACTGGCTTAGGGCAGGGYGAGCAGTCATTTCTTGCTGCAAGCCATGATGTTCAATTAGARAGTGAGCTGCATCTGCAGCTGCTTCATTCCAAATATTGACCGACAGTGTCTTCTAGCCTCACAGAACTCTGCAGAGATTTGCTATTACCAGAGTTTCCTTCCACTAATATTTAAACTCTTCTTACCTATGAACAGATTCCACTCAGTATCCAAATCAGCCTGATTTGCTAGGCAGCCCTTCATTACATTGAGGCAATAGTTGTTGCAAGGTTTCACAGTGGGAAGTCCTCTGCAGTAAGGGCAGTACAACATCTTCATTAACGCCCGGATGCACCCTGGGGTGGGACTGACCTGCAGAGTTTAAGGCAGGGAAAGAAAAAGAAAAAGGAGGAAATCAATCTCCTGTTCKGTGAATTTCGGGATGGCTGAGATTATGCCTCTCAAGCAATAAGTGCAGAGGGGGCAATTTGTGAAAAGAGCTCAACCCTTAATAACACCCTCCTRTAAAACTAATCGATTCCTGCCAATTATCTTCATTTAGCACAGCAGAGACTTTCAGGAATGCAAAAATCAACACTCCCCTACTGATAGCAGTGTTTGCCTCCCCAACCCTCCCACACAAGATTTACAGGAAAGCGAAGGAAAAACAATCAGGGAATCAGCTGGGTGGTAAGTGACTGATCCTAATATGGATGATCCTGAGGAGACTTCTCACTCATCCTATGAAAGCTAGAACTGCCGGTCCCACCAGCACTGGATTAAAACCCCCTCTTTATATAATTTATAATTAATACAGAATAACCTTGATGATTTCTTTAAAATTATTCAGAACTGCACCATGGCAAAGAGATATCATTCTGTTTTCAGACAAAAACACCTTCTGAATTCTCAGACAAATTCATAAAGAGATCAGACAGGGTTTGTTTGGGGTTTTGTATTTTTTTTAATATGCTTCCAGCATCTCAAGGGACAAAAAGCATTATGGACAACACTCTAATGCCTTTCAATTTACATATCAGCATGGCACATGCCTGCACATGCTGAACTTTAAGCAGCTGATAGAGACAATGGAAAGACACCCAATGAATTTAGGGTTTTCAGTCCAAGTCATCGACACTGGGAATGGCTGACAGAAGAAAGTAGTGTGAYAATATAAATTTTAWGTGATACATGCTACAGTTTGCACTGGAAGGACATGGATTTCCTGGAGAGGGAACACGGAGGTTGAGGAAAGATTTTTGTGTAAGTCTTCATTATTTGTAATGATCCTTTATCTCATCTCTTTTAGTCATCAAAATGCTGGGCATCTATTCAACGATGTGCCTCCCCTGTTACATTAAGAGAAAGAGGTGCTTTTTTTGYGGTTTGGTTTTTCATCCTATCTCTTGAAGAGTGGAGTTAATCATCCTCTGGAAGATATCCATCAAATCCTCCATGTCTAAAGTAAAACCACACAAACTGGTCACATTTCACAATGATATAAAGTTCTTTGGGTAAATAGTATTTCCCTCACTCTCTTCTGTATTTAATTGTTTAATCTGACTTTAAAAGTCATATGTACTAGTAATATGTACATTTTCAGGCCAGAGTTTCTAACTTGGATTAAAAGTGCATGCTAGGCACCTRCTCACATTGTCACGGTGCAGTGGAGCACAAGTTTCTCATGCTGGACTGAYAATCTAGAGCAAGGACAAAGGGCTGCAGGTTCCTCAGTGATTTCAAAATTCCTGGACTAGAGATTGCAAAGCAATGGCACTCCTTTCACTCAACCTGTTGGTTKATGAATAAATGCAACACAACTGACATGAATTTGAGGGGATGAAAATGTTTTTCCATAATCATGGTAACTTGTGCTGAAAATGTGAATCTAACTTTGCACTATAGTTGAACTGATTGATGTCATTTGTATTATCAGGACTGTACTAAAATTGCGTTTCTTTTCTTTTTCTCTGGAATTTGTTTCTCCATTTTTGATGTTAAATGATTGATTTTTAGAGAACTATACAGGACATTGTCTTTACACAGGATGTTTTCACAAGAAAATKATTCTGTTATGAGATATAGCAGATGCTTTTGAATATGCTCAGAGGGGATTTTTGCCTTAGTTTCTTAGGGAAATGCACTTTACTAGCACAACACTGCTGGTATGTGTGAAGGTATATTTATCCATCCTTTTCCAATAGCTTTTGAACTGTCAGCCAGTTTCAATCAAATTTGACTGAGCACTTCAGGTCTCAGTACATTAAGATCCTAYATGTTTTTTTCTTTTTAAATAGACAGCTGAGAGGAAAAGAGGAGAGAGGTTCTATTATTGCCTTTACTGAGGAAAAGGGTGAAACATAAGGTCAGTTCCTCACAGATATCAAAGAATCCACGTTGAAAATGATGCTGTGAATGACCTATTRGCTAGAAAAAGTACACAGGAAACTTCCACCTTATCGAAAAGCAGAAAATCCAAATTCAAATAAAAGGTGGACTTTATTAGTTTCACTTCTCAGAACTACTTTTTAGAGTCACTTATCCAATTGTTGTGTACCTCCAAATCTAGAACTGGTCAATTTTTACAAAAAGATTGGCACCAAAGAAGGAAGCAAGCAGAATAGATATGTTTACAGTCAACAACAGAATCTTCAAATTTATATTGAAAAAGCTGCTTAAAGTCAGAGATATTTTTATCTGTGAGCACTGAGAGTTTTGTCAGCTAGGTTCCTTTCTTGCCTGAAGTTATGTTTTTTCCCAGCTCCTGTAGTGTTATCAACACCAAGCTGTCAGCACCTAGCTGACCCCTTAGTTGAGCTGGAATCCAATGTTCTCCTATCCTCACCTTCCCAAATCCACTTTGGTACTTGTGCTGACATATATCCATAAGATGTTGATCTTACACAAACATTACTGTCAATTTAATTCTCGAAAAGCATATCTAAAAGAGAGAAGACAGTCCCTGTCTTTATATTATACATTATCTTCTTTTTTTTTTTTTTTTATTGTATTTATATAAAAGAAACCATCAATATTTACGTGGATCTTATTTTATAATAAGTGAAATTTGAGAACAAACTAGCTGTCATGCCTCACTCTCCCAGAGATCCAGATCATGTCCCAGGTCTGCTAGGACAGGACCCTAAAGGCCAGTTAGAGTATCTATTTACACAGAACCTGTGAGTCTTGAATCCTTACCACATTACAGAACTGCTTTAACAGAGAACTTCCCATCACAGTCCACTGTGAAGAAGTCAGCACAACTTCCAACCACTCCAAAGCAATGAGCAGGACCCTGCCATCTTATATGTTGCCTGAATGTCTCCATATTTCCATACAAAATGGTGGCATCATTAACAGCATTTTACAACAAAGAAAGGTACTCCACTTTTGTTATGAATGAAGTAATGTTTTTTAAGAGAAGAAGCCAAGATGTGAGTCCAAGCAAAGCAGATGGGGGAGGTTTCTACAGAAGCCTCTGTCACATTATTTATATCACCATCTGACTTATCTATGTCATCTTCTGACAAGGACTAACACAAGCAGATCTTTAACCTGATCAAGGTTTCAGAACATGCTGTGCTGGTGACATAAAATACAAGCACAGATGAATTGCTGTGCCTGCTGGCTTACATTCACTTTGCTCACTGCTTGCACCTTCTGCTCCAAGCTGGCCACATCCCATACTACCACATTGTATTGGCACTACATCTCCTCTGGGTTCCACTTGGTGCCTGAGTGACTAAAATACACAATTATYATTTTGTGTGGTTATTTTTCAGCTCAAAGTGTTTGGAAAATAGGAGTCAGCAGAGCAGRCAATGGGAGTAAAAGGGAGCTCAATAAATGCTGTGTGTTTTGTATGAAGTGAGACCAGAGGTTTCACAGTGCTTACACTACACTCTGCTTAGCATTGAAGGAAGGGAGGGGACCAAAACAAGACAGGTATCTTCATACAGGTCTCTGGGAGCAGTATTTATCCTGCCAAAAGTGTATTTCATGGRGAGACAGGCAGAGGGGTCCAAAACACATCTGCAGAGGGCTCTCAATTAAGCTGTGACCCRAGCGTTGGATGAGTCCTGTTCCCAATCCTGCTCCATATTCACCCATCACTTAGCAGCACTGATGAACCTTTAGGTAGCCAAACTGTGGCTCAGGGAAATATAACTAATAGCACAGCTACTTAAAAATCTGAAGGCTACAAGTTAACTGCTGTATTGCAGCAGTTAAGTGCCTTTCTGAACCTAGTCTTCAGTGAGCAGCCAGGTTTCAGTTCTTGGCTTCAGCTGGGTTTTTTTGTACCTTTATTATTGAAGAATACAATCAGGTCTTTTTCTTCCATCAATAACAGCTGAATTATCTTTCATGCAAAAAATAATCAAATTTTGCTATAAGATTCTGAAATCTTGGTTAGAACCCAAACATGAAAAAGCATCCAGCTTAAGAGTGTGAGTATTTCAGAAAGCTATGAACTTGTGAAATATGGAGATTATCACAGAAAGTTGGTTTTCAACCACCTTCTTACTGCTGGCAAATGCTATAGAATGCATTTTCAAAGCCCATTTCTCATTTCCATCTTACAAAAAACAAAATTCAGAGTATCACACACATAAGTATGTTTCTGCAGACTAGCCAAAAGCAGATAAGTCAGAAGTATCCAAAACCTATATTTGCTAAGGGCAGCTGTTCCTCATCTCATGAGTTTCAATGTTATTTCTGTAAGTAACATTTGTGGATGGATACTGCTTGATGCTTTTTTATTTTTGTCTTTTAAAATACATTGCAATTGGCTCTACGATAATCGCAGCAGAGAAATTTGCATARACTTCAAAGTTCAGAAATAACTGGTTCATACGTAAATCATATAAATCAGTCAGATCACACTGAATGACATAACTGGGGAAACTGCTACAGAGGAGTCATTAATTATAGCATGCTGTCTCCCTGACTGACTAGGACAGCTTCATTTTAGCGCAAGCAGACGTGAATACAGCACATCAGAAAAGTGCCTTTCTGAGCTTTGATTGAGCCTAGTAGCTTCAGGACATGTTACATTACTGCATTTTGTAACATTTTCTGACAGCTTCAGCTTTACCTAAATGCATGTTTTTGCATACATGCAAAACCCCCCAAAAGCAATATTCTTAAGGGCTTCATTAYAGAACACTTGTTTTCCCCCTTCAGAAAATCTAGGAGGAATATTACTTCACCTAGAGGACAGATTTTGCAATGGTGAACTYGCAAACATAAATAATTGAGGAGAGAACTTCTTTGGGTAAAAGCCAGGAAATTTTACTGTCTTGTAATACTGCATTTGCAGACTGCTTTGTTATGYATTT